TTTTCCTCTTGATTTTTGTTTTGATTTTTAATTGAAAAAATATTCTAGGGGAAAATGCAGCTAAGGTGTACAAAGATCTTCAGAAGTCTCCCGCTCTTAAAGACCAGCTGGTAATATCCTCTTCTGGCTTTACCCGACAAGGTAAGAGATGCTAAATTGTCACAGGTGAATGGCCGACAAGGATAGCCAGAGTACCTAGTATGCTTGTTGACTCTGGTATCTGACTTTTCTCCTACTGAAATTCTCTTTAAGACAAGCTTCAGTATTAGCTCCTTAAGTGTGGAATTCACTTCTTCTCTGTATGCATTTCCACGCAGGCTTTTTTTTATTTTTTTTATTTTTGGAGACAGGGACTCACTGTGTAGCCCAGGCTGGCCTCAAAATTGCTATATAGCACAGGCTGGCCTTGAATTTTCTGTCCTCGTGACTCAGCCTGCAGAGGTGATACATTCTTGGGTAATCAACACTGCCACCTGTCACCTCTATAGACAGGAACATATGGCAGCTTTTGTCGACTGTGTGGGGGAGACCTGGGTGTTCTTTACTCAATAATACATGTTGCTTCTCTTTTCTCCTCTTAGCACTGAACCTTCCAGACGTATTTGGGTTGATTGTCCTCCCACTGGAGCTGAAACTACGGATCTTCCGACTGTTGGATGTACGCTCTGTCCTGTCTTTGTCTGCAGTTTGTCGTGACCTCCTTATTGCTTCCAATGATCCACTGCTGTGGAGGTGTTTATACCTGCGGGATTTCCGAGGTGATTTTCATAATGACATGTTAACAAGAAAAAGACTCTTTCTTGCTGTGGTTGCCGTAGTCTTTAGTTACTCAGCTTGGTAAAAGTTTTTAATTGTCTTTTTCTTTTTTTTTTGGCAGTATTGGGGTTTGAACTCAGGGCTTTGCTATACCACTTCAGTCATGCCCCAGCCCTTTTTATACTTTAGTTATTTTTCAGATAGGATTTTGTGTTCTTTTTTGTTTTTTTTCTGCCCAGGGCTGGCTTTGGTTGGAGATCCTCTTGCCTGTGTCTCTGCATAGCTGAGATTATAGGTATGCACCACCATGCCTTACTGGTTTTGATTTTTGTATTGTAAATGATGAGGAATAGCCTTAGAGTAAAGAGATTCTAAGTTTCATAAATCTTTGCCTGTGTTCTGCAAACTCCCCCGATTTATCTTTATGTTCTCTGCAGCACAACCCATTAGACTAAATATATTGTTATTTTAGGATAGAAAAATGAAAGACAGGTTTATTCTCTCTGAAGGCTGTCCTGGGTATCTGACTCAGGAATGAGCTGCATTCTACCTTGCTTCCATGGTTGGGACCAGTGTGTTGGCTGAAAGAGTTGCTCACTTGTGTCATGCTACTCGGGCAGCTGTATTTCTGTGTGTCATTTGTGTGACCTAGTCATCATTGTGGCAGTGCACCAGGATTTCCACATCAAGGTCAAAAGCCTGATTGTGGATTTGCTTTTCTGCCAGTACCATTTTACTACATATCGGTGGTTTTCAAACAGTTGTTTGACCCTAGGCCAGATCATGAAATTAATTTAATGGGCTACTTTACAGAAAACCACAATAGAAAAAGAAATTGGCACTTATTTTATAAATAATATCCCTGCTTATAAAAGAGGAATAAACTTCTATTTCAGTTATGTATGCATACATGTATCTTGTGTTGCAATGTAACATATCTGTGATGTGATTCCTGTCAAAAAAGTTTGAGTGAAAATGCTGTCTATGATGTTAACATATGTTTTTAGCAGCTGTAAAAATCTGGTGGGTAGATCTCCTCCCACCCCCCCACCCCTTTTTTTTGCTTTTTAACATAGACTATCATGAATCATTTGGATTATTTAAATTTTGGGGTTGTATTTATTTACTTATTTATGGTACCAAGGGTTGAACTCAGGGCCTACACCTTGAGCCACTCCACCAGTCTTTTTTGTGTTAGGTATTTTCGAGATAGGGTCTGGAGAACTATTTGCCTGGGCTGGCTTTGAACCATGATCCTCCTGATCTCTGGCTCCTGAGTAGCTAGAATTACAGGCTTGAGCCACTGGTGCCTGGAGTTTTTTTTTTTTTTCTTTTAAAGTTTCAGACTGTCACAAGTGCAAGTGTCTAGTTTGTTCCTTTTTCCTCTTCCTTTTATTCCTAAGGTCCTCTTTTACTTTACTTAACACAAAGTTTAAAGGCAATTTTGACACAATTGGCAGCAAGTGTCATTTCAAAAAAAAAAATATATATGTAATCAAAAAGAAAAGACAATGACTAGCACATGTGGAACAACTGACAAAAGAATGGTAGGCTGTAATATAACTCGCATAAGAGGAACAAATACCCTTTCACTGTGTATTTTAGTGTGATCAGTCCATCTCAGTTCCACATTGTGGCTCACAGCTTGTTAGTAAGTTCCTGTAGATTCCGTATTTTGGAATTACAGCTTTTGTAGACTTTATATCCATATCACCAGCTTTTGTCTGAAAGCTTCATTACACCTAAAGTTGACTGACTTCTTCCTTATTTCAAATAAGTATACTAAAACATTTATTCTTGGTTATACTTCTGATAGTTGAACCATTCAGAACATGGTTGGGAAGAAATAATCTAATCCAAGTACAAAACAAGCCTGAGTCAGCCTGACTTCCAGTCATAAATGTGGGTTGTAACACAGGCATTCAGAGACTGTTACCCTATTTGGTTGTCACGTGAGATGGGGTTAGAAGCAGGTGGCATACCTAGATGAGCCTGGGGGAGAAGATGCAGTGCTGACACAGAGTAGCCATAACCATCCTGAACTATTAAGAAAGAGTTTGAATTAGGAAAGTAATGACAGAGCGTGTGTTACACAGATGGCTCATGTTCCTTTTTCTGCTTAATAGACAATTTTCAGTTTCTCTAGAACAAAAATACCCCACCATTTAATGCTGGATGAACAAGTGTTTTTAATTCCTTATTTTTGTTTTACCTTTGTAGATGGCACTGTCAGAGTTCGTGACACAGATTGGAAGGAAGTAGGTGCTTTTAATATGAATGCTAACGTTCACAGTCTAGAAATAACCTGTGAATTATTAGGGGCAAACTTTCACGTTTGTAATGATGTAATGAAATCTTTTCATTAAATTTATTGCCAGTGTTTAGTAAATGAAATGTTTTCAACTTTTATCTTAGGCTTAGTCCTTATTTCTTGTAATTACACAGAAAAATCTTAGTATGATTGTTTTCATCTTAATATAAAATATTCTTACTCTTGTTTTTGCCAAAAAGCATTTGAGTTGCTTTTGTGCTGGAGTAGTCCTAAGCTGTCAGCTAGTTAGAATAGTACATAGTGAAAAGAATAAAATGTGTTGTTTTATTTGCAGATGACTGTTGCAAAAGGTTTTGATAGAACTGAGAAAAACTCTGTGGGCTGAAGGACTAGAAAAGAATAAAATTCCCTGAAAGCCCTCAAATAGTACAAAATGCACAGTACTTGATCTTTAGACTATGTCCCATCCTCTAAAATAGGCGCCTAGTTTTTGTTTTAAAGTGAGATCCACTAGGGACCTAATTTAGGTGACAAAAGTAAATGAGTGCTGCACTTCTAATGTCTGTATTTTATAGGTAGCATCATATTTTCAGCAAATATGTAAATTTTCCTTGTTCAGAAAAAGGCTAACCTAAACTTGCATATCAACTTGGAATCTCTAGATTTATGTCTTAAAAACACAGGTCACTCAATTATCACTCCTTTGGATTTATTGTTACCTTAGATTAGCACAATCACTCAGTTGTAATATGCTTTAGGAACAGAGCTCACTTGGCATTGCATTAGGAGTTGCTCACCCTATTCATGCAGATAGAAACTGGCAAAAATTCTCTTCTGCATTGCTCTCTTTGTTTGCTAGATAGTGTGGGAAAAGAAAATATAGATAGATCTATACAATGAAATCAACTAGAACTTACCATATCTTTTCTCCCCCCTACAGCTGTACAGGAAGAGGCACAAACAGAGAAAAGAAGCTCAGAGAGGGCGGCATTTGATGTTCCTGCCGCCACCATCCCACCCCATCCCATTCTATCCTAACCCCTTGCACCCCAGGCCCTTTCATCCCAGCTCCATCCTTCCTCCGGGAATTATTGGTGGGGAATATGATGAAAGACCAACACTTCCCTATGTTGGGGATCCAATCAATTCACTCATCCCAGGGCCTGGGGAGACACCTAGCCAGTTCCCTCCACTCAGACCACGTTTTGATCCAATTGGCCCACTTCCAGGACCTAACCCCATATTGCCAGGGAGAGGTGGTCCCAATGACAGATTTCCCTTCAGGCCCGGCAGGGGTCGGTCCACTGACAGCCGGCTATCATTCATGTGATTGATGTGTAATTCTACTCTAGAGCTTAATTTTGTTTAAAACTACAGATGCCATCTCCTTGGGGTGCTGGTTGGGCTAGTTTTATTTTCTGGTGATAGTGATGAGAATTGCACTTGCAGGGCCTTTCAGTAGATGTATTTACAGCTGTAGGGGTGGTATGGCCAAAGGTTACTCAACAGGATTGGCCTTGGGAATGGTTGGCTACTGATTTCCCTCTACAATAGAGCTTGTTATAATGTTCTATACCAGATTAAAAAGTGTAAATTACATGGCAAATTTGACTTTTATCACAGAAAGATAATGTAATAAATATTTAAAACAATTCAGTGTTGTCAGAGAACCTATTACTAGGCAGATTATTGATTATTGCAAGAAGTTTCTGTGGTCTTTTGTTTGCTTTTTATTTTAGTGGTACTCTAAAAGCTCAATTTATAAAATCAATAAAGGCAGAGCTAGTTTGGTTGAAATTGGGTTGGAGCCACCTTCTCTCTTCTGTGACAGCTCTTTTGGGTTCCAGGGTGGAACTTGCTGGGCTCTGAAGCAGTAGTGTTTGAAGACATTAGGTTATTGATCCCAGCTCCTTCTGGAGGAGATTGCTATGGTTTTCCCCCTGGTGTTTTGAATACTTACTTGTAATCTAAGTAGATAACATGTTTTAACAATAAAGTTCTGCTTTGAATGCTGGTCAGGTACTTGTTCTTCAAAGAGCCTCTTACTGGAAGAACATTTTACCAAGATTTAAAATACTCAAAACTCAAGATTTATTCTTTTTTCTACAACAAGAAAAAGGCCAAATACAAATGACTTACCATACGAACATCTATAGAAACATGCTACAGTGACAGAAATTAAAATCCAAATCACAACACAGGAATAAAATAGTATTAGCATCTGCAGAAAATATTTAGGAATATTGCCAATGTCTTCTTGCTTTTTTAAAAAATGTTTTGCATATAAGGAAATGGCTTGGAATGTTATGTGCTGCAAGAATATTTTGAGTCCTATATACAAGTAAATTTTTTTTGCTACACACATGTATTGAGTCTGTTTTTCCATCACAGTGAAGAAAATTCAGTTGGTTTTTCTAGAAGCCATGCCACTGTTAGTGTAGGTACAGGATTGGGCTGTTGACGCTTTCTGTGGTGGTTTGTAGTACATGAGCTACAGGATAGATAGCCTTGTAAAAGTATCCACTAGATGCTGTATGGGTTTGGCGAAAAGGGTTATCCTGAAGCTTTGATGGGTACATGATAACATGTCTTTGTGGCCTTGTAGAATTGCACTGTGTAGGTATGTGTGTGTGTGGGCATGGGAGACAGTGATGACCAGAAGCACCATCTACTACTAAACAACATGTTTTTGGAACATGGTTGATTTTAAATGGTCTTTGAGATACTGTATCCATGGATACAGTGCTACTTTCCAACCTCACCCTGGACTTCCTGACAGGTGTTACAAATCTTTCTTAGTTTAGGATGTTGGCAGTGTGTCCTAAAACCAAATTTGGGCAACTCTCAAAATAGTTTTATCACAAATTCTTAAAACAGGGCTCAAAGCCATTTCCTCTTGACTAGTAGCTAGATTTATAGCTAGAAGCTTGTCAGATCCTGCATTCATGTCAGTAGACAACTGAGCTTTATATATTGCTGATGCACAATGAATGGAAGTCATGATTTGGCAGTGGCCTGTTCACTGCATGATTTTCTGATGTCACCTCCAGGTACTGTAATGGCAGGGGAGGTAGTCTGGGGTGTCAGGGGCAAGCGTTTCAGGCTTTCTGACTTTGAGCCTTAACATCCTTTTGTAGCCCCTTTCTGTCCTCTTTAGTTATTTTTCTTAACAGGTGCTTGTTCTCCTCCCTCATCCCATTTATAAATGAAAAGTATTGGTTTGGCATGATTGGTAATACCGCCATAGCAGGTTTCTTTTCAGCTCAAGTTACTGTGATTCCCTATGTAAACACTTGAATTCTGATCTCTGACTCTTGCTGGGTTTTCCAATTTCTGAGACTTCTACTTAGCTTAATATTGCTGTAATTCTTACTCTGTGGAGGTGGACATTCCTGCCCTTACTCTCTGTACTTAGGCCTGCTCCAGGACAGTAGCTGCCTAATGACAGAGCACCGGCCTGGGCTCACTGCTGTGCTGAGGCATGGGCAGTGCTCCTTTGGGTAGACTGCACTTGACTGCAGAAGATGCAGAGTGGAGAAGGTTCCTGCAATGTACTAGGTGAGTCACATCAAGATTAATTTTAACTGACTTCATTGTCTGTCCTGGGATTCCCCAATAGGTTGCAGCACTTGTTTCCTGTATTCCATGGCAAAACAGGCAAAATTAATTGAGTGGCAAGGAAGGAACTTCTGCTCTACACACAAAGTAATACTACGTAGGGCAGACTTGCTATAGGAGTGCTTGGAAAGTGAAAATTAGGACCAACCAGTTTAAAAATAATGAAAGGTTTTAGGATTTTAAAGGACTAAAACATGTATGTATTGTAGAAGGAATGCTTAATTTTAGGTTGGTTTTCCTTAAAGGAATAGCTCACTAATTGTTAAAGAGAAAAAAAAAAAAGCCCAGCCATTTTTGATTTTCCTCCTGGTTGTCTACCCATTGAGATCAGAATAAAAGAGCCAAGTGTGCACGTTTCATCTTGTTGGACTGTGTGTTTTGTGTGTGGAAACAAGGGAGCTTCTGTGTTCTTCATGCCCCGTGCTTGATAAATGGACTGATTTGTCTTGCTATTCACCTAAACTTCCAATTTGTCTCCAATCAAGCCAAAAGTGCCACCTCCTATTAGAGTCTAAATATTAGACTGAAACCCTTAATTTAATCCGTGGCCACTTAGGGGTCTAGGACAGCTTTCGACACTTGTCAGTGTAGTTAGTAACCAGCCAGCTTGGCTCTAGGACAAAGAAACACGAAATACTTATGAAAGAACTCAGGCAATGAATGGGCTAATCCAGGATAATTAAGTTACCACTTGTATCTGCAAGGCTGAAAACCAGTTAGCCCATGACTAACTTGCATCCTTTCGCCAGTTCTAAATACACTGAGCAGAATGAGGCCCCAAGTTGTGTGATGAATAATGCACAAGAGATGGGTCTGCTGCTACCACTGGAAGGGCACACGCCATGTGTGCTGGCACCGTGGCTGCGGCCGAGGCTGGGTTTGGAAAGCTCTGCTGTATTCAGTTGTGGGGTGCAGTCTTTGTGGTTTTCAAGTAGGAAGCTACTTCCTACTTGGGTCCTGGGCCTGTGCTGTACCAGCTCCATTGATCTGGTCCTAGACTGCTCACTGCAGCCTCATCTGGCCCATGTTGACCATGGTTAACCCTCTCCTGGCTCCCAGCTGTAGCAGTGCTGAGGTCCCCTGCCTTCACATGGACCCTAGAGCATGGTGCTTGTCTTCTGGGCCTCATTCTGCTAGCTGCTTTTCCTTTTCAGATTCAGTTTAGGTCTTTTTGAGGTTAAAAAATAGCCATTGTTTTTTTTTTTTTTTTCATTTGCTTTTTCCTATTGTCTCATTTTACTAATCTCTTTGTTGGTTTGATTCTGTTTCTTAAGCAAGTGTCTTCCTTACACTGATATGTTCAGAAAAACAGCCTTTTTCTTTGATCTAAATATTAATATTTTATTAATTTCAGAGCTTTCTGGGATGGCTAACCTAAAATGTGTTGTGAACACCTACCTCGTGCCATGCAGTGAGCTCTGGGCAAGATGCTCAAGCAGCTTTTGCCCTTGGCTCCTTCCATGGGAAATCCAGATGAAAACCTCCAGAAGGTAGCCGAGCTTCAGTGCATGGGGTTTGCTGCTGATTTGTTATGTAAGAGAAGATCCATTGTGCCTGAAACTTTTGGGTTTTTTGAGAAAAACTATGTAGCCCAAGATGACCTTGAACTCGCCATCTTCCTTCCTCAGTTTTCCAAGTGCTGGGATTACAGGTGTGCCCACTCAGCAGGGACTGAAGTTTAGGAGGGGATGTAGTCAGGAACGGGACACCAAGAATTAAACATAAAGAAAGGATGTTCATCTTCCAGTGTCCCTGAAAGCTGATGCTTTTACTTCAGCAAAGGACAGTACTATTTTATCATGCTAATAGGAGGAAGGTCTGGACAAAACTCTCTGGTTTGTAGAGCTGTCCTTTGAGGTGGAGTTTTCAAGTCCCTACTCATTGTGCACAAATTGAATGGGTCTTTGTTGTGTTTCAGCTTTACTAAAGTCAGCTTGAAAGGAAAATGCTGGCCTTTCTTTGGGTCAAAGTTGTAAAACAAAGTAAAAATAACAAATATAACTGTTAGAATCTATACACAGTGACTCTCCTCCCCTTTCTTTTTGCCCTTTCCCATTTCCAAATGTCACAATTATTAAAAGTTATATCTTTGGAAGTAACGTGCTAGCCAATGGGAGAAAACAGTCCATTCTGGGGGGTCTGTGCTCTCCACAAGACATACTTTCTTGTGCATGACCCCAGGAAAATTGTTCAAGACGTGTTGGCTAGAAACTGGTGTTCTGTCACAGACTGAACATCTCTGCGTGGTTGTAATAATCAGCGTGCCTGGCCTGACAAGTTTGAAAGGAGTTTGTTCTCTGTAGTTGGAGTTTCAGGGAAATAGCATTTCAATGGTGAGATATTTCTAGGGATAATGGATGGAATTTAGGAAGTGGGCAAATTTAGGCCATAGTCACTCTGGAGACACTAGTTATGCTTATCGAAGGGGCAGGTCCCTAGCTGCACTGGTGACTGAAACACATTCATCTCAATACTGCTTCTTACAATGGCAGCCTCCTCCAAGCTCAGTTCAGAGGCTCCACGACAGTCAGGAAGACTGATGAAGGTAGAAGTTCTGGGTCCTCCAACTTCAAGTTCTGACCCCTTTGGTCTGAAACAAAGCTTCATCTACATTTGTAACTAGCTCTACCCATGGCCATGGCCTCCACTTTGAGAAACTTCATCTGCCATTTAGCTGTGGGTTGGGAGTTGTGTTTTATTGTTGAGACTTGGGTGAGACTGTTGGAGAGTGATGACTATTGCAGGTGTGTCCTGGGTTCCTAACCTCCTAGTACTGTGGGCTGTGTGGTGTTTCTCTACACCCTTTAGTCCTAATGTTCATTTTTGGAAAGATCCACCCATAAGTAATGGGGGCCACTAAAAGTGGAAGAAACTGACCTGCAAGTCCTGTGACTCTGTGCTTGAATCTTATCATAGACTCCTAGGGCAGTCTACTGGGACAACTTCAACTGCAATTGTCAGACAGAAGTGGGGGCAGGCATTTCTAGCCTACACGGCTGTGTTCTGATTCCCTCTGCCTGTGACTAATGTGGGAGACAAACTTCTCAGGCCCAGTAGGGAAGCAGACTGTCACTGAAGCAGGTCATCAGAGAAGTACCAATAGAAAGGTGACAGGATTGTAGACTGTCACATCCTAAATGTGTCAATTCCCTGTTTGTGTGTGTGTGTGTGTGTGTGTGTGTGAGAGAGAGAGAGAGAGAGAGAGAGAGAGAGAGAGAGAGAGAGATGGATCCTTGACCATCTTTACTTTATCCAATAGTTAAATTCTCTCCAGCTAAATTTACTTGAATGGAATAGCTTTAAAACATTCCTGCACTTAACATTTTGATACTCACTTGTCTCCTTTCCTTCTTCCCTACTTGGCTTCCTTTAGAGGTTGCTGAGGAATGGTGGAAGAATTTAGTCAGGCAGCAAAAGGAGAAGGAGGAAGAAGCAAAGTTCTGTGGAATTATGAATTGTCCGATCTGTTTTCTACTTCAGATGACCTCCCCAGAGCACCTCTGTGTGGTGCTGGGTCCCATCTCCTCCCACCTTGGGCCTGGCAGAATGCGTTGACAGTGATGCCCTGCATTCGACTGCCCTCTGAGCCACCTCTGTTGCCTCAGGGATGTGTCCTGGCAGCTTCTGTGGACAGAGTAGGGTCTAGATACCATCAGTGACTGTGCCACAGGCACTGAACTCAACAGAACATTGACAAAGCATAAAGGACATGGTACTGGAACAAGTACCAGGTTCTCACCAGTTCACCCCCACCCTACACCATTGCCATTCCATTTGCTGCTGATCCTATTTCATGCTGACAGGCCTAAGCCTGCTGGTCTTAGGCAGCCAAATTATGGTGCCCGTTGGTCAAGGGCGCCCTGAGCCATCTGATGATCTTACGGCAGAGCTGCTCCTTATTACTGAGTCCACGCCAGGGTCCTGGACCAGAGCAGAAATAGGACTTTAAAATGCTCAGGCTCTCTTTTCTCAATACCAACTTGATCATGAGAGAGGGAGGAGGGCAAGGAGGAAGAAGATAACCCTGGGGGTCAAGTGGATCTCTGACAGCCAGGTACAAAGCTAACACTTCTGATGCTGAGCCAAGCCCCATCCTGTTGGAAAGTCAGCTTGAAGGCAGGCTCTGCTGAGGTCCAGGATTCTAGGTGACCCAGTGCAGGAGTGGGTTTCTAGCTTTGTCCCCACCACTCTAGTCTGGTTTGGGGGTACCAAGAAGGTTGTGACTCGTCTTATGCTCCTGGGAATTTGGATAAGTCTCAGCTGATTGACCAGCTATCTACAGTGCTTGGGTATAACTGAAAGCTGGTGTAGGCCAAGGATCCTTCAATTTTTACCTCCTTCCTTTCTTCCCTCCTTTCCCTGGGACTGGGAGGAGAAGACATAGTCAACTTGCCAGGTTGCTGTTGGGGGAGAACATGGCTGCATTGTAATATTCTGGGTGGTTCTTGAAACCATGAGACTGCTGCTGGCACCTACAATGTTTCTAGCACCATATGCTTGGTGGTGTGGGGCACCCCTGGACCCATTGATCCTGGGAGGAGCTGTTGTAGGGGCAAAAGCAGGGGGAAGGGAGTCAGGATGACTTTTTCCAGCTCTGCAGTTAACTTGTTTAACCAAAGAAGTTAGGGAGGGTGGAACAAAGTCAGAGCTGATGTCTTTCCTGCAGGAATTCCAAAAGTCTTTGCTTAGACATGTGTCCTGAACTCTGTGTCTCCAAAAGAAGAATATAGCATTTCCTAAACCTGCTTGATCATGATCCCCTTTTGGAATCTGTGACCTGTGGACCCCTTGCTGTAGAGAATGTGTGAAATGCCAAACAGGAGGCTCCTATCACTGTGCCTCTGATCCTTTGTCATGCATCTGTCCACTCTCTCTGGGTCCAGCAGCTTGGGTGGGAGGCCAAATGGTGGTGTCACACCGAAGAGGCACAGGAGTCCGACCAAACCTGACCCTCTATTTTCAGGAGTGGGATAGGATTCCTACAAGGACCTGTGGTCTGCTTTTGACTGTGTAATTAAAAGGATAATGCTCTGTGTACAGGTGGCTTTACAAGGGTGACCTCCTGTTGCCCTACTTGTTGCACAGAATCTGGCTTCCTGTTAACCTCAAGATCCCACTGGAGGCCAGTTGTGATGGGGCCTCTGTGCACCTGGTCCAACAGCAGGTCTAGAGCATGAACAGAGCTAGCATGGGTGAGTGAGGTGGTGGGTTCCTGGGCTGCACTTTTTTCTTGTTTGCAAAAACAATTTAAAAATTATTGCCTCCTATGTTGCCGACGTCCAACAATGGTGTCTGCATTTGATGGAGGTGGGGCAAGGCCTCAAAGGGGGCCTCTGTCCAAAGGCAAGCAAAACATGAACAAGAATGTGAACACCAGCCACACAGACATGTCACTTGGCATGGGCCAGGGTGGGGGTGCGGCGCAGGGGAGCAAGCACACAGGTAAATGGAGCAATGTCAGGTCTGTCAGGAAAGCCTGCTTCGAGGAACCTGGAGGCTCTTCAAAGCTCTCTGCTCAGTCAGACCGCATCAGAATGCCACGGGAAAGAATGGGATGCTTGTGAAGGATGAGATTCTGGGTCCAAGGCATTTAGGAAGTATGTTGTCAGGGCCTTCATCCGTCTCTGCCAGGAGCCATGGATGAGAAGAAGGAGGAGGAGATAGGAGGCGGGGAGCATCATCAAACCCTCCTGCCTTCCAGCCTGGACAGAACTAGTCAGAGAACAGGCTGGCGAAGGACTTCCTCAGGTTGCGGATGGTCTCGGCTTTGGCCTCATCCTCACTTGGGGCCCCGCGCTGGGTAGCGTCTGATGTGCCAAGGCTGTTGGTCAGGGACTGGGATTTGCTGCAACAGAAAGGTGGGGGTCTGGGTAGCCATGGCTGAGACTCCCAGGAAATGAGTCTGGGGACAGCCCTGAGCCAGGAGGCTGAGCCCAACCATCAGAATGATAGTGGGACCAGAAAGCAGACTGTAAGGCTTACAGGAGGGGAGGTGGGAGGAAGCAGTGCATGTGTGTATAGTGATGGGTTACTTTAAAAAAAAAATGGGTGCAACCCCCCCATTCCCCCCACCCCATGGTCGGCATGTGTGCCTTTGAGGCTCCTCCTATCAAGAGTCTGTTTCCCCATCTTATGAATCTGGCCTTGGCCAGGTGACTTGCTTTGGCCCGAAGCACATGATGGAATAACACCGTACAACTTACAAGGCTGGGCCTCAAGAGACTTTGATGCCTTACATCTGCTCTTTTGGAAGCAGCACTGTCATATGAGAAAGCTTGGCTTAGCCTTGGGGGACATGAGATGCCATGGAGAGAGAGACCCAGCTGACAGCCTGCACCAACAATCAGATGTGTGCGTGAGGCCCTCTGGGATCATCCAGTCATCCAGCACAGTGAAGCTGCCATATGGCTGCAGTTGTATGAGTGATCCCAGGAGAGTAAGATTGCCCGACTTGACAAATAAACATGTAGGACATCCGTTAAATTTAAATTTCAGATAGAAAACAGGTGTACTTTTTTTTGTGGTACTGGAATTTGAATTCAGGGCCTCACACTTGCTAGGCAGGTACTCCCACTTGACCCACAACTCCATCCCAAACAGGTGTATTTTAAAGTGCAAGTCTATCCCACACAATATTTAGGGTATACTTGTACTCATAATTATTTGTTATTTATTTGAAATTCACAACTACCTGGACATCTTAAATTTTATCTGTCAACTCTACAAGACACCAGCAGAAGAACCTTCCAGCTGAGCTAAACTCAGAACAAACTGCTGAACCAAGAAACTGCAAATGAAGAAAATGGTTGTTTTCCTAAGCCAGCTTTGGCCATCCCCAGCTCTGCCTACACCCTTGGTCATTCCCAAACACTTACTTGAGATGGGGGTGAGGTGGTGCTGGCTTCTTTGGCTCCTCACCTTGCTGGGAAGTGCTGCGGCCCTGCACTGGGGGCCGGGGCTGGGAGCTGAGGTTGGTTCCTGGCTTGGAGACCTGGTTTGGAGAGCTGTCACCTGATGCCCGGGATAGCTGTGGAGAGCCTGGTGACCTTTGCTGTTGTGGAGATCCAGACTGGGGGCTCCCGGGCTGCTGGCCTTGTGGGGAGAGCCTCTGTTGGGAGGGGCTTCTAGATCTGGGGCTGGGGACTGGTTTGGAGAGCTGTCACCTGATGCCCGGGATAGCTGTGGAGAGCCTGGTGACCTTTGCTGTTGTGGAGATCCAGACTGGGGGCTCCCGGGCTGCTGGCCTTGTGGGGAATTTGTTCTTAGGACAAATACAGCTGTGCACAAATAATGTTGCTTACATATGTTCATTATAGTGTTGTTTCCTACAGTGGAAACCAAAAATAATATAAACACTAAACCATGGTCAGGCACGTCACCAACGTGTTGAGATACGTCTATATGATGCATTATGCTATGGGATTATCGTATAGGATGTGGCAGAACAATATTAAATGACATAGGATGTTAATATGTGTTACTAAATACCAATAAACAAAAAAAAAGCAGTTTATAAGATAGAGCATTTTGGAGCTGTGGCTCAAGCAGTAGAGTGCCTGCCTAGCAAGTGCTAAGCCCTGAGTTCAAACCCCAGTACTGCCAAAACCAAATATCGAATTACTAAGATAGAGCACCTGTTTTATTCCACTTTGGTCCAAGTGTGTAGAAGTAAGAAAGAAGAAATATGTAAAGAAGACTGGGTGACTGTACACTAGGATGAGTGAGACCTCACAGTTTAACATGCATTTGGACCACTGGGGGAATTTTGTCAACACAGAGATCTGGAGTGATGTTATAGACTAAATTGTGTCTGTGCCTCCCCTACCCTAATCATATGTCGAAGCCCTAAACCTCAGTGAGACTGTATTTGGAGACAGGGTCTTTAAGGAGATAGGGAGGTGGTAAGGGTGAAGCTCTGATCCAACAGGAAAGATGGTTGCCACCTGAGGGCTCCATACCCAGCAAAAGCCAGGCATGGTGCCACACATCCATAATCCCAGCACCTGGGAGGCAGAGGCAGAAGGACCTAGAGTTCTAAGCCAGCTTAAGATACACAGTGAGACCCTATCACCAAAAGCCAAGTGCTGGGGTTGTAGCTCAGTGGTAGAGCTCTTGCCTAGTATGCCCAAGGCCCTGGGGTCTAGCCCCAGCAACACACACACACACACACACACACACACACACACAAAGGGCGGCTCTGAGTCATTACAATTTTGTGAAAATTAAAGGTGGCTTTCTCTAGTAGCAACAGCTCAGAGCCATGTGCTATGGAGCAAGGACTAGATTTCTGCCATGGTCTCCCCTCAGATACCCTGTCACTGGGCACATTTGCATAGGGCATGGCCTGTGTGTCTGGTGGTCCTGACCCCACACTGGCCCCATGACCCCAGGTCCTAACTCAATGCTTGCCATTTAAATGTCATGTGACTGTGGGTAGGTCACACAATGAGGCCATTGGACTCTACACCAAATATCCCCCCTCCCAATATAAACATTGTCGTGTGGCCGTGGGACCCTTTCTAAGCTGATGAAATTGCAGTAGCATGTTAGCTTCTGACCTCTTTCATAGCTATAGATTGGAGGACCCATTGATCTCAAACCCATACACCTATAGGGACAGGCTGGTGTGCTAATGAAGTAGCTGAGTGCAAGAAAATAATGTAGCTTTAAAAAATTTCTCACTTGATATAAAAACATAGTTCAGAGAATTCTCTCTCTAAAGAAGTACAAGCATAAAGAAAATAGTAATTGACTCTCTCTGTCACTATGGAGGTGACAATAGTAGGAACAAGGTTTGAGGCAAATGGGGAGCACTTCTCTGTCCAAGGGAACAGTGGTTGCTAACCACCAGGAGCTGCTGTACAGGAAAGCAGGCTGGGGTTTCTAGAACTTCTGCACCATCAAGAGAGGCTGGAGAGGCCAGGCATGATGGTGTATGGAAGATGGGAGGATCGTGGGTAGAGTCCAGCCTGGGGAAAAAGTGAGACCCTGTCTCAAAAAAAAAAAAAGCTGGGCATGGTAATACAAGTTTGTGATCCCAGCTACACGGGAGATGGAGGTAGGAGAATCAGTCCAAGGCTGGCCCTGAGCAAAAGCACAAGACCCTATCTGAAAAACTGATTGAAGTAAGAAGGTCTGGGGGGGAGTGGCTCAAGTGGTGGAATGCTTGCCTAGCAAGTGCAAGGCCCTGAGCTCAAATTCCAATAACTGCCTAAAAAATAAAATAAAAAAGATGCTGGAAATTGACCTGGGGTGGGGGTGGAAGACTGAAGCTAAAATTTAGATATTTAAGCAAAACCTCTGGATTTTTAAATGCTGGTTACATTTCTGTTTTCTAAACTTACTGTAGGTCAAAGAAAACATCTGTTTTCTACTTTTATCTTAACCCTTCCACTCCACCCCTAAGTTGGTCATATCTTAGAAAAGCTGGGTAGTAATTCAATAACTCATTAACTATTTCTTGAGTCCCTATTTTACCCCCTGGGTACATCAAGAGACACTCTAGTTATTTCATACAGTTTCTTGGCAAGGCAAACAATTTAGTATTTTTTATTTGAGCACATACAAAAAATATTAACTTCTATATAGAAAGCATTTGTCCAAGCACAGAATTGATGTCGAAAAAAGGGATGGAGCTTATTAAAGGAAAATTTCAAATTTTTACTGAGTTTGAAACAAGCTAATACTGTGATCTTGTTACTTGGAGAAATTGGTGAAAATATTGCTTTGGAATTAGCCTTGTTATTTTTATTCTGAATGTTAATTCACTCCTTTAATTACCTTAATTGGTTTTAAGTTGATTATTTTCAACTCACTAAATGTGTGTTTAGCCACAAGTTCCTTAAAATAATATCTCTTTATCAAGCGTGTTCCTACCCTGGGCTAGAGAGGAAACAGAACACAGTAGCTCTCTGTTTTTTAAAGGGCCTCTGTTCAGAAGTGTTTTTAAGCAGTCAGTCCTGGGTAAAGGGGGAGGGGAAAGGAGGGGCCAGGGCAGAGACCAGCCAGGAATCAGGTACCATGCTGGATACTTTTGGACCATTTAGAACTGTAGACTTATTGCCAGGCAGAGGGCAGGGGCTGCATGTGTTGTAAGGTTTGTTAGTACAATCAAGAACCACTGTCTATTAGAACTGCAAACAGGGCGCGGTGACTCATAGTAAGAGTTACGTTCATAGGTACATGGAAATAACGCAGGAGTTTCCTTTGTAGCTACCTTTATCTCAAACGAGCTAAAATGTCATGTTTTTTGTTTTCTCTTTTCTCTTCTACAAAATTGGAGGAGGAGGGTGAAACAAGCCCTGCTCAGGGGGAAGGGCTGGCACCGGTGGGACTGGGGGAGGTGCTGGGGAAAGCAGGTAGGAGGGTGCAAAAAAATGTGTTCACATGTATGTACATGGAAAAAATGATAGCCATTAAAAGTACTCCAGGAATCGGGGGAGGAGGAGATGAAGGAGAATGGTAGAGGGGGTGAATTCATGTATGATATATGTGCTACATTGTAAGCACCTGTGTAAATGCCACAATGTATTCCGTCCCCCGCCCCCCAGCACAGCAATAAAAAAAAAGAAATCAAAGGCAAGGGGACTGAGCACGTGAGGGTCATGTCCTGATTCTATTCTTGTAATTTTCACTTAAAATGTAAAAGAATTAAAATTACCAGGGAGCCGCCTTCCCTAAAAGTCTTTTATTTTGTTAGAAACTTGTTCTTGAAATTAAAAATAAAGTTTCATTTGCGAATCAAAAAAGTTACATAATCATTATTAATGGTAAATTATTAGTAGTAAGAGCTAATGTCTTCCGAGCACTTTCCCTGAGTCACACACCTTGCTAATTGCTTCCTTGACCTTATCCCATGGACAACAACCTACCGTCCAATAGGCTGCTGCTATTTCCTTCTTTATCACCAAGGAAACCGAGGCTCAGGGAGGTAGGAACTGGTTTCAAACACACATATACAAGCCAAAAGATACTAAGACACAGTTTTTTATGGTTTGGACCTTAAATGGCCCATGTGGTGAAGGCTTGGTCCCCAGCCTATGGCGCTCTCAGGAGGTCGTGGAACCCTTATGTGGGTCTTTGTGGATGGAAGTTAGGTTATTGGGGGTGTGCCCTCAAGGGGATTTTGGGACCCTGATCCTTTTCTCTTGCTCTCTCTTTGCTTTTTGGCCACCAGGAGGTGAACGGTCTTCCTCCACTAAATGAGTGGAGTGTCATCCCAGGCCCAATGACCCATGAGTGCTGGGTCACCCCAGGTCCAAAAAGCAAGAGGGCCAAGTGACCATGGACCTCTGAAACCAAGAGCCAAATAAAACTTTCTTCCTTTTTATTTATTTATTTGGCAGTACTGGGGTTTGAACTCAGGGTCTTGTACTTGTTAGGCAGGCACTCTACCACTTGAACCACGCTCCAGCCCTTTAGGTTTCTTTTGAATAGAGTTTTGCCATTTATGCCCAGGCTGGCCTGGACAGAGATCCACCTATTTATGCTTCCTTCATAGCTAGGATTAGAGGTACACCACTATGCCTGAGATGCTGTCTTGCTAACTTATGCCTGGGCTGGTCTGGAACCTTGATCCTCCTGATCTCTGCCTCCCAAGTAGCTAGGATTATAGGTGTGAGCCATGGTGCCCTGGCTTTCCTCCTTTTAAGTTGATTTTCTCAGATATTTTGTGACAGTGAGGGAAAGCTGGCCGACACACAATTGTGTACAACTACACAATGTACTTTTCCCCAAATATTGTCTTCTTTTCCAGGGAGAGAAGCACAGATGGATGGAACGGTATGGGGATTGGGAATAGCACATAAGGTTCACTAAATGTTACTGTTTCTGATGTAAAGGGATCTGAGTATTTATGGGGATTTGTCAGTACAGGGAAGAAGAGATAACTTCGGGATCAAGAAAAGGATAGGAGCAAGACTTTGAAATAAATGGGGGACATTGACTCAGCCCCCAGAATGAACACAGTTGTGAACAAGTTATGTTCTCAGGAGTCTTTGGCCACAGAGACTTCCAGTCCAAAGGACATCTGGCCTGGTATTTTGACAAATGTCATTTTTACTCCATGGTTCCATACAATTTGGATAATTGTGCATATATTTTGGAGTGCATTGGGGAAAACAGTCAACTTAAAATTTACTTCTATGAAAAAGTAAATGAATATAGAAGAATATATTAAATAAAATAGGACGGAAGGAATGAAGGAAGGAGGGAAAGGATGTAGAAAGAAAGGAGGCAGGGAAGGAAGGAAGGAAGGGAAGAAAGGATGAGAGGGAGGGAGGAGGATCATTTTACCTAGACCTGTGGAAAAGGAAGTCATCTTATGCCCAAGGCTCATTTTTCCTAAGAAGCAATGATTCTGCTGACGGGGAAACCCAGGACATGATAGAAAGGCCTCTTTTTTCTGACACAGTTTTGAACAGAGCCATACAAGAGTGTAAGGAGACCACCTGCCCTGGCTTCTCCCCACCCAGCTGCCCAGCTGCTCCAGAGCAACGGGGCACCCACATAACTCTGGTTGCAGGAGGGGACACAGGACAGATGTTCTTCCTAGGCCCACATGCAAGAACCCTGGGGCAGCTAACGTTCCTCTAGAAAGCCTCAGAAATTCTCACAATTTCTTCCTATCTCCTCACCCACAGCATTTGCCCTCTAACAAATGGTGGCATTATGTAGTGGAACTGGATATTTTTCGAGGAAGAATTTCAATGGATGAGCTGGCATATGATGTTCCATATGCCAGCTCTTTCTTTGTTTTTCCCTCTAGCTTGTTGGCTTACAAATCTATTCAGGCACTACCAGTGGCTAGAAAGAAACACTATAAGGTCTGAAAGGCCAGACTTGTAAACCTGCCATTTTCTTGTGTCTCCCTGGGCAAAACTCCAACTTCTCCCTCTGGGAAAAGGGAGCTAGCACTGTAGAGTGGCTGGAAGGATAAAAATGAGAAGATACACGGGAAAGTCCCATCTGTGGGACAAAGCCTGGCACGTATTAAATATTTAAAAAATTACTTTCACTCTTCCCTTCCTCCTTCCTGACTTAAGGGGTTGGAAGGCCTCAGTCTCCCTCAATCTGCACACGGAGTGAGTATGCAGTGTATGGATAAAGTAAGTGGAGGATGAATTTTTTCCACAACACCTTCTGGAAATCAAATGCAGATTCTGCAGTGCCTTTCAAAAACCTCACTGAGAAGGTTTTTCTCTGGGACTAGCCTGGCTCTTACCTTGTGGAGGTGGGCGTGGCTGGGGCTGTTCCATTTGGGGTCCTCGCTGCCCTTGTCCTGGGGATTTTGCAGGTTTTGTTTGTGGAGCCTAGGGGAGAAGAGAAAAGAGGCCAGTTTTGATTACCATAGCCTTTACTTCCTGGGTGGGAGGCAAGGCTTTGCAAAGGTCTTTTCCATCATTGAGGCAAGCCCTAGGTATGGTGCACAGTTCTTGAGTGTAGAGAGTGATGGATTTTTACGTGTGTATGCATGAGTGTAGCCATGATTTGGTTGAAAACATAAACATTTCCTTCCCCTCTAGAGCCCCACCTCAAGTTTAACCATTATTCTGATGTCTACCCACAGAAATGAAGTTCTGTGGGGGAAAGCGGGCTGGGGGTGGGTGTAGGCTTTGGGACTTGCTTTCCCAGAAGGCTGGGCAGCTGGCAAATTCTTTGGTGAGTGGTCTGGTAATCCATGGACCAGAGCTTGTCCGGCTGGGGAGGGGGAAGTGGGAGACACAATAGTCCACTGACTGGGTGCCTAGGAACTCACAGTGGGTGTGTGTGCACGTGTGTTCTCACGCGCTCTTGCACACACCCTCTGCTCAGGCGCAGGATGGGGACCGCACAGATGACAGTTATTAATGATCTTTCCGAAGAGGCCAAAGGCCAGCGGGATAGGAGCTTTGCCCCAGGATAGAGGAGAGAGGAAGATCCCCTGGAAGTTCATGGGATGGCCATGGGGCCACGTCCAGCCTCTGTCCCCCAACCTGCTCCTTTCTTCTCAGGTTGATTCCTCTTCTGGGGTATCTGTTGGATCCTGAAAGTTCTCATTTCAGACATCCTGACATTTCTCAGGGCTACCAATCTTTATTCCTGAAAATCTTACCCAAGCTCTCAGGGGTGAGGGAACGGTATTCCCCAGCACCAGGAGTTGGCTCATTTTGGAGACAACAAGGTCGGCCATCAGCTGTTTGTCCTCTTCCACATGCTCTCCAATCAGGGGCATCGAGCTGTCCATGACCTGTGGAAGAAAAAGCAGGACTCAGGAACCCCATGCCAGGACTGCCCAGCCATTGGCAGCACTTGCCAGGAGTGACCACTAGATGGCGATGTCCTCCATACAAACCGCCAGCCTCGCACCCCCAGCTGGGCTGGGTCCTCCAGAGACATCCATCTCCCTACAGAGCAGTCTAAACCAACTTCCTGGATTGAGTTCAAGTCATCCTACAGCGCTGTGCTACAGCAATGTGACTGAAGGTGGGGGAGCATTTACTGACCTTTTCTGTACTTTTCTTTGGGGAGCTGGTCTCCGCCCCCTCCTTTCTCACCCAGCATCCCTCCCAGGGTTGGGGCTGGCTTCCTGTCCTTTGGCCCAAGGTCAAGACTGGAAGCAGTAAAGGTGGCGGTTCCATCATGACCAAAAAAAAAAAAAAAATGACAGGCTGGAAGTGACCCAGGGCTCAGAGAGAAGATGGAAGAGGAAAGGGCTGTTCTTGGGGTCCTGGCAGAATACGGACCTGGAATGAAACTTGTTCTTCAGAGAGCTGGCTGGTCTCACAGGAAGCAAGGCTGATACGGGGAAGGGGACCTGAGAGCACATGCTTGCCCATTCTGCTCTTTTCACACATGGAGAAACTGAGGCACAGAGACGGAAAGGACAACGAGCCAGGTGATTCCCTGAGCATGGGCAGCTACAGACCATCTTGGCAGAGCTGGGAAATAGCCATGTTGGTTACTCTCTCTCCTCTGCTATAAGAATCCAGGCACTTGTGCCCACCTGTCCTACCCCATCAAACGCACCGACTCATCTCCTCCTTTCTCAGCTTTGGACTCACCACCTGTCAGGGAACACCTAGCTTAGCCCTTCCTCCAGGAAGCCCTCTAGGCCTGCACATACTCCTGTGAGACATCCCAAGACTGTATTGCTGCTGACCTCATTTTCCCATTGGAGAGTTTATCCCACAGCCTGCCTGCCACCTCCTGCTTATTCTGACACCATAACTAGATTGAGAGCCTGCAAGGTCTGGAGTGGCCCTGTGTCCTTTTAATTGGTGTCCCCTCAGCAAATCTCTGCTGAATGGAGGCGTGAGAGTTCCTTGCAATAGGACTTGCTCACAATGCTGAGGATACTAAGTGCCCTGTTTTATTGAGCCCCTATTATGTGCACTGTTCTAAGTCATGGGTATGATGAGCTCACATCAGCTCTTTGAGGCTGGTGTTATTATTATCTTCATCGTAATGATGAGGAAGCAGAGGGTCAAAGAAGTGACAACTTCCATGCGATCAGGGAAGCTCTCGACAACCCCTGTGTTCATGCAAAAAACTTGGAAGAGGCAACCAGGGTTCTGAGCCTGAGTTCTGCTGCAGACTTGCTTTGTGACCTTGGGCAGCTCACTTTTCCTCTATGAGTGTATTTTTTTCCTCAGCTATAAACTAAGGGATTCAAGCAGCTGCTAAGACCCCTCTGGCTGGGAATTTCAGGGTCTGTGGGTCTGACGCACCCACAGGAAGCTGTGAAAAGCAAGTGGTTCAAGGATCCAGCAGGTACTGGGAGCTGAGGAATATGGAGCTCCTCAAGGTGTCACACCTAGGTCTGACATGCAGGAGCCAAGTGCCTGGCACGTGGACCGTCTCGCTCAGCATCAGCTGTGTTGAGCTGTAACAGTGCAGTCTGTCCCCAGTGTTCACGGGCTTCCTGTCCCATGCCTGTCCTCCCCGCCCCTGCCCACCCGTTTCTGTTCTGCTTGGGTCTTCACATTCCCTGCAGTGGAAAACAGCTGCTGCAGGAACCTGAGGTCGAGAATTCTGGAACCCCCCCAGGCAGGACACAGCCAAAGGAAGTGGACACTCAGTCTCCCCAGGGAAACATTTTTCCAGTGAGCAATGTCATCCCTTGGACAGGTCAGAGAGGACAAGTTCAAAGGTCTTTCCCTGGAGGGTCTCACAGACTCTCTGTTCTCACCACAGAGGTGGCTAATGAAGCCAGTATTTTTACATCTTGCCTGCTTTTTTTTCATTACTGGGGAAAATACCTTAAATATTCCTAGTAACAAGCTTACCCTCTTCTCTGTCCCCACCCTAAACTCAAATGAAGAGAAACAACTCTGCAATGTTTCTGAGAGGGAAAAAAATATATGAAAGCTATCTTTTTCTTTTTTTTTTTCTTTTTCTGGAACATTTTTTGAGAAGTTGTTTTTTGGGTTTTGAAGTTCAAGCCTTACTTTTTTTTCTTTTTCTAAATGTGAACCATCTTTCATCCCTGACCCTCTGAGTGTCTGGAGCTGGGGGCCCATGGGCACAGGTGTTTTTTTCTTCTGAAGAGTGAAAGTAGAGTGAAAGAGAGAGGCAGAGGAGTGCTGTCCAAGAGAGAAGAGAGTGTTCTGATCTCTAACGGGGACTGCGGCCCCTCTGGAGTAGGCTCTGCGGGACAGGGCCCAGCCCTCCTGCCCACTGCTGTGACCTGTCATCTGGTGCCCAGCAAGGTGGCTCAATGGTGAAGAAATGAATGACAGTGTGTGAGCCAACCCGGATTCATGTCTGGTGTCCCAGTGAGGAGATGGGAGGCAGGAGGCCTCATGGGGTGTCAGGAGCTATGAGGGCCCAGGCAGAGGGCCCCTTGGCTGGTCCTGCTCCCAGGATGTCACCAGAAGAGCGAGGGACTGACTCCTCCAGGAGCAACTTGTAGGTGGACAGTTGTCCCCTGAGCAGAGGCTGTGTAGGGGAACTTTAGGTACAGTGGCAGCCAGGGGAGATGAGCCAGCCCAGACGAGTCCAGGATCTCAGATACAGAGGCAGCTCTTCCCGCGGGAGTCTCCCTGTCAAGGCAGCCCTTGCCAGGCTGGTGTCAGTGCCCTCCTGCAGGGCCAGCCCCACCCATGGAGTCATCTGGTGCTGCTGTGCCCTGGATCCCTGGGGAGTGGGGTAGGGACTGCAGGACTGGCTGGCTTCTGTGGCCACCCAACTATGTGCGTGCTCCCCATTAGCTGCCCACACCCCAGGGAGGGGGGACCACAGAGCTGTCCCTCACGTGTCTTGGCCTGGTGTTAGCCTGCTGCTCCCCTGTGGTTTGAGAAGGAAGAGCTCACGGGAGGAGTGAGCTGGAAGCTGGGGCCTTAGAGCCTGGCTGTGGGAAGTTGGGGACAGGAGGGACTTGAGGCCACAGGGGCATTTTCGGGGGAAAGCAGGGGAGAGCCCTGAGGTGCCGATGGAGGCAGGAGAGGAAGACTGTGGGACGGAGAGACTGTGGGGGTGTCTTGGAGGGGACAGGGGACTGTGAGATGGGGAGAGGCCACAGGAGGCCCTTAAGAGGGATTCAGGTTCTGTGAGCCTCTCTCTTACAACTACATGTTTCCCGCTCTGGTGGTACCATGCACAGCCGTGTCCACTTCTGAACACTCAACACCAGAGCTACCCATGTGCCTGATCCATGGGAGCCCCTAAAGTCCATGTTTGTAGAATGAATAAATGTTGGAATCTCTGTATGGTTACCAAGGAAGTGGGTCCACTTCACACACTTGGACACTGAGGATACCACCAAGCCCAATGGGACAGAATCTTCCCGACTCTTGGCCTGACAGCTTGGGAGAATGGTTAAAACTCACACCCTGAGCCTTTGCTGTGGCAGAGGTGGGATGAGGTGACAAGGGTGGTGGGGCAGATGTCTCTGGAGACTGCTTACTGGGGCCTGGGCTGCATGGTCCGGGAGCCAGGATGCAGCTGGCCATGCTGGAACACAGCTTGGAGTCCCTCTCTCTGACCCTTCTGCCAGGGCTGGGCAAAGCAGGGGACCTCCTGCTTCTTCCCTCACCTCAATGATGTAATCTCTGCCGTCCTTGCTGTGAACGGCCTTGACAGCACAGATGTCCAGGCCACCAAACATTTCTGAGCAGCTGTCCACCCATAGCCTGTACCTGCAGGAAAGTACAGACAGACAGTGAGCATCAGGGATGAAGGAGACATAGCAATGGAAAGACAGAGAGATGCTGGGCATATGGACAAAACAGGCAGAGATAGAGAGAGACAGTAACATACAGAGAGAGAGAGAAAGAATGAAAGAAAGAAAGAAAGAAAGAAGGAAAGAAAGAAAGAAAGAAAAAAGAAAGCGAGCCCTGGGGAGGCAGGAAGAGAGGAAGAATAAGGGAAAGAAGAAATGAGAGTGTGGCAATCTCAGAGACCCCCAATCACCCCCTCCCAGGACCTTGACAGTTGTGATCAGCAGCAGTGAGGGGCAGCTTGCCCTGCCCCCATCCAGAGCCATCTCAGACACCCAGCCACCCCTGCAGCCCTTTTCCCTTGGGAAAGCTGCTCGCAGGGCTCTAGAAACCATTCCGGCTACCCTCCCAGCCCAGAGCCCAGCCAGACAAGAGCCTGCAGGGGACAAAGCTTGCATTCTCCCTAAGCCTGGTGGGGAGGGGGTGGCAGGGGAGCCTGGCAGGCTGCTCCCGCCTGGCCCTGGGGCCTTTGTTCCCTTTCCAGCCACTTGATGGCTGCAAGGCCAGTTTGCTTTGCCTGGGACAGAGCTCAACGCTGGACTTTGACCTTGCAACAAGGGGGCTGCTGTATCTGGAGGAATCTTCAGGGCTTGCACTTGGCTCCCCTTGTGGGCTGGATTTGGGGTTCACAGGGGACTCTGTGTCTGTGTTCTTGCTTCTCTCCTCACTTCCCTGGGTCACACAGGGCATGGCTGCCCTCAGATCTATTTGTGTCTCTGCTATGGGCCTGGGTTGAGGAGGGATCATGGTTGATGTGCTCTTAGCACGCTCTCATCTTATCCCCCAGTGCCCACTGAGGCCCAGAGAGGGAGAGTGGGTCACACAGCAAGGCAGTAACAGAGGCAGGTTCTCCTAGATCTCTGGGCTTTAGCCCAGTTCTCCCGATCAGCAGCAGTCAGGAGCGTGTGGGAGTGAAAGGCAGAATGAATACGCACCTCTACTGCATTCCTACTATGTGTCATTCTGTGCCTGGGGAAGGGCTGACTCCTCATTCCCTACCTGATCAGGGAGGTTTGAATCCATTTTACAGATGAAAAAACTGAGGCTCAGAGAGATGAGTAAGTGTGGCTTCCAACCTCAGGTCCTGTATGATTCCCGATCCTCAGCAAGCCACCCTTTCTCTCATTAGGAATGGGTCATGGCTGGCCTAGTCTTACTCAGCATGGGGCACCGGGGCCCCTCATTCTTGCTATTACTTCCTCAGAAATTTTGGGTGAGACTCTCCTTCTTGAAGCCTCAGTTTCCATATCTGTGAAATGAGAAGGCCAGATATGATTCTTGTTGGGCATTGGAGTCACCAGGAGAAGTAATCAAACATACAAAGAAACATCCAGACACAGGGCCCCGCCTGTGCTAGAATATTCTCTACAATTTCTGAACGCTTCCCATGAGACTCTGATGTGTACATCTGGAGACAGTGTTTGGTCCTTGGAGCTCTAGGAGTCCTCTGGGCTCCCTGATGAGGGTCTCTGTATTTGGAACGAGTAGCAGACTCATGGGACACCACAGGCTTAGGGAGAGATAAATGAGACCCACTCAGGATTCAGGCTTCTTCTCAATGGAAGGAGATGAGGACTAGAGGTGACTAGGTTCCTGTGGTTGTTTTTAAGTGACCAATGTCAGGGTTGCCTGCAGGCTGTACCCCAGAAGCAGGCACTCCTGGATCAAGCCAGGGACTTGGGGTGGAGTGGTATGGGGAGGCTGGGAATGAATATAGGGAGGCTACTCTCATATCCCTCCATCTAAGTGAAACTAAGCCCCATCATGGTTCTGCCCAGGGGTCAGGCGACCTGGCAAGCTGGTGAGCCTGTAGGAGGGAAGGTGAGGGCTGTCTCAGGATTTGAGCCTGTGGGGATGGGACAGGAAGCCCCAGAGTACTGCCCATGACTGCAAAGGAGGAAGTGAATTTAGGCCTGAGTAGACCCTTCCTAGGGAGGTCCCTGTGGCCTGCGCCTGGGCACAGCCATGAAGTTGGTGGCCTGCAGGGGACACCCATGAGCAGCTTGTGTGACATTGGGGAAGACAGGGCTCACAGTCCAGAAAGGCCGTGAGAAGAGGGCCTTTGCTATCCCGTGAACTGGGGGAGGGATGCGTCTGCTTCAGACCATATGGTTCTGTTGTGCCAGATAACGGGCACCAGGACTTCAGTAAGTGCAGGTGTGTTCCCAGAGGGAAGGTGGGGCTGGTGCCAGATTAGTACTGTGTAGTCTCTCTTACCCACCGTACTTGGATCTTACTGCCTTCATTTAGCAGTTGAACAAGTTCAGAAATATTAGTTAACGTCCCCAAGGTCACATAGCGAGGCAGGGCTAGGGCCACTCACCTTGGTTCTTGTTGCTTCCTCAGCTTAGAACCCCTGAACCAGAAGTCCCAGGAAGGCAGGGCCTATGTCCCTTTTCTTGTCCCTGCTTCCAGGGCCTGGCTCCACACGGGCTCCAGTTTATGCTCATTAAATACTTGACAAAGAGATAAAACAAATGCCAGCTTCTCCTGACTCCCATTCATTCTTGAGGAAGGGATGCTGGACGCTTCTCTTTCAGGAAGTCAGCTTTCCTTGACCTTCCTCCATTCTCCTGCAAGCACCCAGTGGCCATGGTCTCCCAAATATTATCAGATTGCATTGTAATTGTCTCTGTTGCTTGGTTAGCAGGGGATCCAGGGAATGGATGGGCTGTCATGTTAGTCTTCAGAGCATTTATTTTCTCTTCTACTAAGGACTTCTCGGAATCCCTTGGTATTGAACCCCCAGTGCCACTCAGCTCAGCCATTGTGGCTATTGAGGGGGGACCCACTCAACCTCACTGGCCTATCCAATCACAGAATTGCAGTATTCTCAGCTATCATAATTGGTTCAGGGATGGTCATGTGACCCCAGCCTGCCAACCAGGCTTTGGATAAAATGGTTGGGAAAGAGATGTTTTCTTTCTGATGGACTTGACAGTGAAGCTCTAGGCCTGGAAGCATAAGGGCCACCATAGGAGAAAGCATATCCAAAGGAAGCCACACAGAAAAGAGCCAGGGTGGGTTAGGAAATGATTCAGGCCTCACAGGAGCTGTACCTTTTGAATTTTCAATAATGGGAGCCAGTAAATCTCTTCAAAGTGCAAACCTTTTGACCTGTGTTTTGATACTTCGAGCACATCCAGACTTCTTAGAGGAAGGGTTGGATCTTTTTACTGTGGCCTCTTTACTGCTCAGGACAATGTGACATGCAGTAGGCACTCAGTAAACGTTTACAGAATGGAGCTTTCTGACCCCAGAGCCCTATTCTGTCGACTACCATTGTGTGTTTGCAAGCAGAGGTCACTCACTGAGCATTCAGGAAAGAATGGAGGTCAGGCTGGCCCGAGAGCAGGTGCTATTGCCCTTCCTCAGGTGAGAATGTCACACAGCAGGACTTAAGGCAAGAAGGACCTGCAGGGCCCTCAGCCAGGCACACCCGGAAACAGATTCATGGGGGATCAGCTTCTCCTGTTCAGATGGAGACTGAAGTAAGGCTCTCCATTTCCCTGGTGTTCTAATATGGATGCTTAATCACAGTTGCCGGAGCAGAGTACGGATGGCGAGGGCTCCCTGCCTTCTTCCTGAGGCAGTGGGGCAGGGCTGGAAAGACCCCTGAACTTGGGGTCAAGGCATTAGCATTCTGCTCTCAGCTCTGCCATTAATCAGCCCCGTGACATTGGGCAAATCACTTCCTCTCTCTGTAAAGTGCAGTTATTTTAACCCGTGTCCCAAGGTTCTTCTGGGCAATAAAGGACAGCATGCCTAGGACAATGCTATGGGGAGGGGCATTGTTTACAGAGCTCCAATTGTACCCTTCCCCAACTGCCACCATGGCTAGTGCCCCTCCCTGCACGTCCTTCATCTCTTACCTCTCTGTCATGGCCACCTGCTCCAACATGGCCGAGCCTGTGTTGGCTTTCCAGTTTCCAGAGATGGACGTTCTCCTGTGTGAGAACAGACAATGCACTGAGGGCGTTAAAGACTTCTGAGTGACTCGTTTTCCTTTTTTGCTTTGGTTGTTAGCAGCTCTGTTTCAAATCTCTGACTCATTTTAAGGTACATCCAGACCCTATCTCAGGTTTATTTCCTTGTTGTAACTTCCTTTCATGCCGACTGCCTTATTTGTTGGAGCTTATGTATGGTTTTTCTAAGCTGCTTTTGGAAATTTAAAAAAAAATTGTTGACAATATCAGATAAAATCCTCTAAGCCTTGCTGCTATAGTTTGGATCTGGAATGTCCCACAAAGGCCTGTGTGTTACAGGCTTGGTCCTCAGGGTCGTGCTGTTGGGAGGTGGTGGAAACTTTATAAGCTGGGCCTACTGAAAGGAAGTTAGGTCACTGGTGGTGTGCCTTTGAAGGGGGATAGTGGGACACCACAGCCCCTTCCTTTCTGTTTCTTGGCTTCCTGGCTGCCATGAGGTGGGCAGCCTCCTCTGCCTTGTGCTTTTGCCATGATGTACTTTGCCAGCACAGGCCCAAAGCAACAGGGTCTAGAAACCACAGCTGAAACTTCTGAAACCATGAGACCAAATAAACCTTTCATCCTTTAAGTTGCTTATCACAGGCATTTTGTTATAGCAACAGAAAGCTGACTGACATACTCGGCCTCTTTTAATTTTTTGAGAACTACAGCAATGTAGCCCCCGGTAGTTGTGGAATGTTTTGTGGGCTCTAACATGTAGAAAAAAATGATTCTCTGAGAAAAGTGGTTACTTGTCCATGGAGAAGACCGTGAAGGCCTGTGGCCTCTGCCTTCCTTGCTCCTTCCTCTGCTCCTTTTCTGAGTTTGCTCTGCTCTAGCAACAACTGGCCTCTCTTCTAGCACTCTGCTGTGCCCAGCACCAATCCTTGGCCTCGCAGGAGTACTTCCCTTTGCCTATGCAGCCTATGCCTCCATTTTTGCCTCTGTAAACCCTGCTCATCCTTTAGGCTTCATTTGCCGTGTGACTTTTCCCAAGCAGGGACTGCCTTGCACTGCACTTAACTGTGCTCAGCCCTGCACACCTCACTTGTCACAATTGCTCTGTGTCCTGTCTTCCTTGATGAAGGAAAAACCCTGAAAACAGGGAACATCTTTCACTCCATCCCTTGGACACCCAGGGCCAGTGGGACCTGGCATTCAGTGGATACCCAGTTACTACTGACTGAGTGACAAACTTCCTGGTACCAAAGGCACATCTGGATCCAATAGAGACCCAATGTGTTCAAGCAAAATGGCAGAGAGGAAGTTGTTTGTTTCATGGCCAAGGGAAGGTGTGGGGTTGAGACTAAAGGTAAACTGAGAGAAGGACTGACACAAGAGTATGTCTTCCTAACACAGAAAAATCAACGCTGAGAGTGACGGTGGCTAACAGGAGCCATAGTTACTCAGAGGCCCAGTTCAGTTCAGTTGAGTTTAGTTCAACACAACGGAATTCAATTTACTTGGCAAATGCTCACAGGGCCACCCTATATCCTGGGTAGGGACAAGTCTGAGTATGCAGAGATGACATAGTGGGATCTGGAAGGTGGCGACAGAAAGTAAGAAGTGACTTGAGTCACTCATGTCTGTCTGGAGTCTTGATTTAAGCATTTTCTAGCAATGTAACTGGGGGCAACACCACCAAGTCTTTTTTCCTCATTGGTAAAATGGGAGTAACTTCAAACAGGATGACCTTATTGGTTTTGTGTGAATGAAAGGAAATATTCCCATAAATTTCCTAGCACAATGGATGTCACTATTATTTTCTGTAAGAGGAGATAAGAAGGCATTCCAAGGGCCAAGCAGCAGGAACATAGTCAGATTGCTTTCCTTCCAGAAGATGGTAGTGAGGGCTGATATTTGATGAATTCTTTCTGTATCTGAGTTATGGATCTAAGAGCTTTACAAGTACTGACTCATTTCAGCCTCATAAGACCTAAAGACATGGCATTATTAATACTCTTCCCACTTACTGGCAGAAGCCACCAACCCATATCTTACAAACTCCATTCTCTTAACCTTGGTTCTCCATTGTGGAGCCCACGGAGTCCATCACAGAAGTAAGGAAAGGAGTCTTGCCAGTGGCCAGAATGTGATGCAGTCATTGGAATGTGTGACGGGATGGAGACTGTGACAAAAGTGTCTCCTTTGGTTATAAGTTGTTTTAGTCTGTTTGGGCTGCTATACAAGGTACCCTAAACTAAGTGGCTTATAAATAGCAGGAATTTATTTATCACAATTCTGGAGGCTGAGAAGCCCATGATTAAGGTGCCTGAAGATTCAATGTTTGATGAGAACCCACTTTCTGGTTCATAGATGGTGACTTTTTTCTGCTTCTTCATGCAGAGAAGAGGCAAGGGATCTTTCTGGGGCCTCTGTACAAGAGCACTAAGCCCATCCCTGAGGGCTCCTCCCTCATGATGTAATTAATCCCTCCCTAAACTGTCCTCCTGATACCATCACTTCCGTGGTTGGGATTTCAACATGAATTCAGACCATGACACAAGTGTATGGCATAACCTCATTGAAGAGGGTGGAGTAAAAGATGCTGGCCTGAGTAACTCTGGACCTGAGTGAAGGCTGTAAGACTAAAGGCAAAAAGAGTTGTATGTAAGCACTGTGCTGTAGTTGGTAAAGTTTTTTTCCACAGGCTTACCATGTTGTACTGAAACTGTACACATGGACAGGAGTTAAACTAGTCAATGGATGGCTGATGATGTGAGCCAGGTTTCTCTTAGCTGAAGTGGGAGGGTAGAGACAAAGCAATTTGGGAGGGCTAAAATGAACCACATGGTACTGGATGAAACTCAGAGATGTCAATATGACTCTGTCTAGCTTAACACACAAATGGATGGGTTTATAGAGAAATAATTACGGAGATACGTGTGCATGTGGGTAAGCATATACATATGAATAAACGTATTTCCTTGTTGTATCTGCTAAGAGAACACCCCAACAAGCACAAAGGTCTGACAGGAGGTAGAATGGTTCAGGGTAGAGAGGACGTTCTCCACTGAGGTCCGACATGAGCCTCCTCCCGTGGATGTGGGCCAACCCAGGGTCCAGGAAACTGTAACTAATGACAAATTGGAGCTGTCAGGACAGAGAGGCTTAGCCTAAAGAATGCAGCAATGAGGTCATCTTCAAGAAAAGAAACTGGGACAAGGTGTCCTTAATGTCAAGTGGAAACTCTAACAATGAAGGGAGGAGGAAAATGATATCATGGCGGACGGCAGGGGCTTCAGGAATACACTGGACTGCCTCACTGGAACGTGCCCAAACTCAGAAGGGACAGGGAGGAGGCAACCTTATTCCCTTGAGGACACCTGAGAGCAGCAACAGCTCTGGACTTCATTGGAGATAGGAGAGGTGTGACTGACAAGACAGGGCAGAACTATCCCTTGAGAACTGAGTCCATCCTTTTCCTGTGACCATTTCCTTCTTGGTTGACTCTTGTATCTCCTCCAGTGTCCCAGGTAACGGCAGAGTGCAGTGGCTATAACGGAGACTGTGTGGCCTCAAAGTTTAAAGTCACCACCTGGTCCTACACACAAAAGGTTTGCTGAGCCCCAGGCTTAGACAATCCAGGTGACACGAAAGCAACTATGGGCAATGTGTCAATGATATGCACAGTTGTGATCAACATGACTTCCTTTACAGAAACAGGTGGCAGCTGAGGGTGGCCTATAGCCTGTGGCTTGCTGACTCGACCCTCAGGCACAAGGCACACTGCCCAAAAGCACTGGACAGACCGTCTTTCTAACTGCCTAGGGCCAACCATGGCAGGCCCCAAATATGGAGCCACACAACCACTGCTCCATAAACGCTTGGCAACACGTGGCTCTCTGGGGTCTCATTTCAAGGGGAACCAAAAACAGAGGGGTCTGGGAGCAGATAAGAGATCTCCATTGTTAGAGCTCTCTCATCTATTCCTGAACCCCATGAAGCTTATCATCCCAGTGGGGTCCATCCTTTGCCGACCCGCTTCAAGTGTGGGTGGGCTGTTCTGTGCTGCCTGGCCTTCCTTCCCTTTGCTCTAGATGCAGCGTATTTCCTTCTGCTGGGGCTCTGCATGTTGGTTTTCTGCCTTTGTCCCTACTGGCCAGTCATTGTGACCAACAGCATGTGACCAAAGTTGGACAAATGATCACTATTCTCGTGAACTCAGTTTTGAGCTAAGCACTGAAGATGGTGAGGGTGGATTCCTTGCCCAGGGGCAGGGTCATGAAGACTGTCTCTCATTCCTGGAGCTACTCTGGATCTAATGGCTCTGAAATTGGTGATTTAGTGGGTTTTGCTGGTTTCTAAGTTTCTTATTTTCTAATAAATTGCCTTAAAAACCCATTAAATAGGGGATGGAAATGTGGCTCAAGGGGTAGAGCACCTGCCCAGGAAGCATGAGGTTCTGAGCTCAATCCCCAGGACTGCAAAAAAAGAAAGAAAAACTCATTAAACCACAGAAAGATGTGGTTTTTGTTGCTTGCAGCCAGAGAACCCTGATGTCACCACCTAACTGGGTTTACTGGGTCCAGATGAACCCCTGTGCAGTCCACGATCCTCAGTTCTCTTTTCAGCCACACAAATCCAACATGCTGCTTCTTTGTGCAGAAGAGAATGGAAGAAAATCCAAAACCCTCCACAAGGAAATGCCTTGTTTCCAAATATCTTTCTTTCAGTCTGAATTTTGAAGACATACATACTGCATGTAGCTGCAGTCCCCCCAAACAGGCTAAGCCTCATTCTTTCTTTAGGGGGGCCAGCCCTTGCTTGGGTGGACAGACCTTCCCTGGATGAGCTGTGACAGCACACAAGCTGCTGATGGAAGAGGGCAGGAGAGGACACAGAAAGGGAGTCACAATGTGCAAACAAAGGAAACAGGGCAAGAAGCGCCCATATCTCCTACCAGCCCCCAGCCCCTGCCACTGCCCCAGGCACTCACATGTACGCCTTATAGTTGGACCCGATTTTCTGGACCCGGATGTCGTACTTGGAGTCGATGAAGGCCTCAGTGGTGGCGTAGGTTTTGGCCATGGCCACCACACTGGTGATATCCTGGTAGTCATGCTGGTTTTCCACTTTGATCTGTATGGGAGGAAGAAAGGAGTGAGTACCATCTGTCCACTCAGCCTCCACCAAGCACCTGCCTACACCAGGTGGGAGGGCCCCATGTGGAGAAGGTCACCAGCTCAGCAGGGGGACAGACACAGGAGACAAACCATCCCACTCCATACCTGCACAAGGTATGGCTCTAAACGGGAGGTGGAGAACCCTTTAGAGAAGAGGCTAGCTCTGAAGGGGTTTGGAAGTATGAATAGGTTTTCAGAGTCCAGAGCCTGAGGAATCACAGTGGGGGGGGAGGACCAGGTGTGCAGCCTGGCTGCTGGGGGCAGGAGTGTGGGGAGGGTTGGGTGAGGTTGGGGGGACACCTGATAGCTTTGATCAGGAGCTTGAATTTTAACCTGAAAGCTCTGGGAAGCAGGGAGAGGAAGGAGAAGTTTAAATGAGCAAGTGGCTTGATTTGTGTTTTGGAAAAATCAAACAGTTGTGTAGAGGATCGAATGGAAGAGTTGATGGGGGTGCAGAGGGGCCAGTTAGAAAGAAGGGAGTGTGTGTATGTGTGTGTGGTGTGGGGAGTGTGGTGCATGTGAGTGCTGTCTGCATGTGTGTAGCGTGTTTTTGTGTGTTCACAGTGTGCGTGGGGTGATTGCTGTGTATGTTGTACTTGTGGTGTATAGTACATGGTGCTAGTGTGTGTGTGCACACGTGTGTACGTTCTTGTGTGTGCATGCAACAGACAGACTGGCTTCTGCTGGTCCAGAGGCCTGGGAGAGACCCACCGGTCACTGGGCTGAGGCCAGGAACACAGGGTGGTGTCATGGAGTCAGGGAGAGCACCCAGGAGAACTCCCAAGGCCAAGTTCAGGGGATGAGGTCAAGGCTCTAGTGAACTCAAGACAGCCAAGGCGGACTCCCTGCCGCTGTAGACAGCCAGGTGGACTACTCCCTCCCACTGGCAGTGGGTACCCCGCTTGTCCAGACTGGCCCCCTCCCCTCCTATCCTCATACCAACAGTACAGTGTTCTGATGCTGGACAAGAGCCTGGGGACCCTGGAGGGGTCTGGAGCTGGTGGTCTACATGGGAGGGTGACAAGGGCGGGGCTGGCCCTTGGGCAGCGCCTTTCTCTCTTCCCCTCTCTTCTCGGGTTCTCACCACACCCCTTGCCCTTTGAGTCTCAGCCCGGATGGATGCCTCCCTCCCACACTGCTGCCCACTCACACTCTCACCAACTTCACAGCTTACAAGAGCTCCTCCTGTGGGGCTCAGCTCGGGATGGGGGGTGGACACGGACATGGTCACTTCACAGATGTGGGCATAGATTTCTTGGCTTGCCCAAGGCCAAATAGCAGCTGAACCCTGAGCTGGGGAAGACTGTGGACTCAGTCACAGCTTTTCTTCCTGATCCCCAGGGAGTCTGTGGGCGCAGGCCTGTTGTTCCACACTAGGGCGAGAGCCTCAGGTAGCCTCTGAGGGCCTGGCTTCTCAGTGATGGCTCTCAGGACCATTTTGGAGAAAAGGAAAGGAGAGCCCCTGTTTTCCACCCCGTTTTCAGCTTGCCAGATCATTTCCTCCTCCAGCATCATGACGCCTCCCTTGTTTGAGGGTTTCTGGGCTCTGACTGCTGGCTCCACTCCTTTAGCAATGCTATCCCTCAGTTTAAGCTGGAGCTGACTTGCTCCAGTCTTCCTCACAAGTAGATGTGCCCAATTCTCCAAATTCTGGCCAAAAACAATTCGAGTAGATGTGATGTGTGCAACCTCCAAGTTGTACCCTGACGATGAAGAGAAACTTCCCTTTCCATTTTCCTTCTTCACTCTGACTGGGATGTGTACATGATGGTCTGAGCAGGAGCATGCATTTTGGGTCATGAGACAGAAGCCACAAGCTGAGCATGGCTGAGTGATAGGATGGAAAGAACCTGGATCCCCAGTACTGAGGCTCTCCTTGTCAGCATTTCATTGTACATTCTCAGGCCCTTAACAGGGGAGACGTAAACTTCACCCCTGGTTAAGCAACTGCCATTTTGGTCCTTGTTACAGCAGCTCACCTATATTTCTGTCATGCATTTTTGGTCTCTTGCTTTTCACTGATTCTCACACTCTGGATTAGCATAATGAAGAATCTTCATCCCACCGCTCAGTCACTCACCACTCTGTCACGGCATCCTCATGGCCCACTGCCAAGCCCACTCTCAACAGGATTCACTCCCTCCTTCCACAGTGATTTGGCAGAGGTCACCTTTGACCCCCTCAATGGTAAATCCCATAGAGTTTCTTGGGACCTCATCTGGTTTTTGCCCACGGTGGCATGTGGAATTGGTGACCTCTGTGAAGTTTGGCTTCCACACTACCATATCTCCTGTCTTTCTGGAACCTTCCCCCTCCCATGTCCCTCGGATGATTCTAGGGTTTTGTCCTCAGTCGATATTTGGGGTTAGGTGGAAGGGGTAGAGTTACCAGAAGGAAAGAATGGGGGAGACAGCCACAGGACAGCAAATTGAATCCATGCTTCTGCTACTGACCCGTGGCTTTCAGAAGAGCCAGAATGTCATCTGTACCTCGGCTTTCACAGCGCACATAGCCAGTCACCTTGGAGATGTCCTGTCACAGCATCAATTCTCTGTTTCCACAGTCATGACACACCTTTACTTGGGGGCACATGGCTGACCAGAAACAAATGTGACATGTCTTCTTGCTTGGCTTTCTTGTGACCACATTACAGCCAATAGGAGCAGAGGAGAGGAGGGGTATGGACTTCCAGGAAGGGGAGGGCTTTCTATTTGCCCCTCCTCTTCCTGTTGGCTGAAATGTGGACCATCCTGGAGCATATGACTGAGGGGTGGATGATCCCCAAGAAGTCAGGGTCCTTGAAACCAAGGTTCCACACCAGCCCTATTTTCAGCCAGGCCATCAGTGGAGAGAGAAGTCCCGGCTCGTTTAAACCATTTTACATCTTTGTTATGGCAGGTGGGACTTTATCCCAAGTATGATACAAGCCCAAGAATGCGCCATACATTCTGTCACAGGGGGACAGATAAGAGCTAAGAGAGAAAGTGTAGACACAGTGGTTTAATCAAGGACCCAGTGGTGAGCCCAGCCTCCTGCTGGGAACCTGAGTCCAGATGGCTCACGGTTGGGGAGCTCACCCTACCTTCTCCAAGATCGAGCAAGCAACCCAGGTCTTCGTCCCCAGGCTCTTTCAAAGCCTCAGGACAGGCCCTGGTCAAATGTCCCTAGCAATTTTATGTTCTTTTCCAACAGAGGGCCAAGTTGTATCACATCTGGGTTCCATAAAACCCAGCTCCACCCTGGACCCTCTGTGCCTGTCCCTGCCTTAGGGGACAGATGAGTCTTGTTCCCAGTCGTAACATTCATGCCTGGCACGTTGTGGATGGCAGGATGTGTTTGCTGGCATGCACTTAAGAAGGCTGAGTGAAGACCCACTCATAGTTGGGAGAAGGCCAGGGCAATGGAAGGAAACATACAGAGCTCAGAAAAAGGCAAAAAATGTGTTTCAGGAAAACTTTCCTTTATAAGGTGAATTTTTCCATCAATGCCTGTGCTGGATGCTACACTGTCAGTGGCTAATGGCGTCTGTCGCGAGTCCGTGGAAATCTTAGCAAATCTGGGACTCTGGAGATGGGGGCAGGTGGTCTGCAGCCTGGTGGGCAGAGCTGGAAGGGACTGTGGCCAGGGGTGCAAGGTGGTGAGGGGGCTGGTTAAGTGACCCCTAGCCCTGGCAGAGCACCCTGGCACCCTGTTTTATTTATTGGCTGGAAACCTTCAAGTGTTCACAAAGACAAGCTGAAAACAGGAGGCCCCAAATGAGCTGGAATTACCCATGTGCTGCCCTGAGGCTGCAGCATGAAGTCAGACTGTGAAGCCTTACCCTTGTACCCACTCTTGGTCCCGGTTCCCTTTCCTCTTCTCCCTCTGTCTCCTCTCTCTTATCCTCTTCCTCTAACTGTTAATGTCATCTTTCCTGCTCCTTCCTCCTTTCTGTTTCTCTTGTTGCTTCTTGTCTTTCTCTAATCTCTCCCTTCCAACCCTCCTCCAAGTTTGTTGACTGCTTCTCAGCTTCTTGACGTTCTTCTGTTCTCTCTGTATTCTGGCTCTCCCTTTGTCTGTTCTGCCTCTGTCCTCCCTGTATCCCCACCCAGGATAAACGCACTTCCTGGTTTCTGAATTGCTTTACCTTCCTGTGTGTGTGTGTGCACATTTGTGAGTACATGCATGCACGAATGCTCCTGTGCTCTGTCCTGTGGAGCAAAGGCGGGAGAGTGGACACAGACAGGCAAAGAATGGTCAGGATTTGATTCAGAATCTCCTGACTGGGATTCAGCTTAGAGGTCTCCTGTGGAAACTTGGAATTCCAGCCTGGGAGAGGAAGGTCATCTATGTCCTCAGAGGCTATCCACCCTTTGCTCAACTCTCTCCACCAACAGTGAGCTCAACGTGAGGTCAGGTCAGCTCTTTCCTCTTTGGGAGCCTCTACTGTTTCGTGCACACTGTGCCAAGAACGAATGAGTGGTCCCCATGCACGGTCTTAGCTTCTGGCCAGGTCCTCTACTTGAGAGAGTGCAAAGTCCAGCGAGAAGGAGGCTCAGGAGAGCAGATGAGGGTCCATGAGTTACAGGCAATAGCACAAGTTAACTCATCCACGAGACTGGAGTGCATGGAGAGTCTGTGTTCCACTAGTCACTTGAAGTAATTCTGTGTCCAAGCCACCGGCTTGGTATACTGCTGAGTCTCTTCATCTTGTCTGTTTTGTTTCCCCTCCATCTGATTCATTTTGCTGCATATTATACAACCATTGTCACCTGGTTCCAAAGTCAAAGTTATGAGCGAGGTCCATGTGGAGAAGTCTCCATTCCATGCCTCTCATCCCCCCTCCATAGCTAACCAGTCCCCTTTGTTGGTGGCTTATCCCTCCACTGCATTTTTAAGCTCCTATGTGTATTTCCCACAGAAGTTCTTGATAAAAGAAAGCGTGTCTTCCCAGTCTTCCCCACTCTTCTTTTTTCAACCCATAGCAGTACATTGATCACTCCATAGTTGTGTGTAGAGATCCTCCTTCCTTTTTCATGGCTGCAAAGTGTTCCATTGTGTGTATGTGCCAGCATTCATGTGGCCGGTCCTGTTGATGGCCAGCAGTCAATGCCCCATTTCTGTGGCAGCTACTCGGGAGGATCATGATTTGAGGTCATCCAGGGCATCTCATCCACTAGCTGGGTGTGGAGGTGTGCGCCTATTATCCTAGCTGTGCGGGAGGCATAAGTAGGAGGACCGTGATCCAGGCTAGTCCTGGAAAAAATGCGAGACCCTATTTAAAAAAAGTAACTAAAAGCAAAATAAATAAATCAAAGGGGTGGTGGAGTGGCTCAAGTGGTAGAGTCCCTACCCAGCAAGCATGAGGCACTGAGTTCAAACCCCAGTATAGTCAAAAAGAAAACTGAGCACAATGATAGAACGGGTAAATGAGGAACGAATGGATGAATCTGATCTAATCCTCAGATGACCAGTCTTTTGGCCAAGTCATTTGTTTAGCCTATAAATATTTACATGACATTAAGTGTGTTACAGAACCTGTGCAATGAGCTGGAAGCCTCATGATATCCCATGGACCACAGGAGAGGCGTGGAATTTGGGTTTCACAGGCAGTAGATTTGTGTCTGGATGAGTGACTGTGTCAAGCAAAGCGATTATTGGTGAGTCAATGCCACAAAGACTCAGCAGTTATCCAGCTAAGGAGAACCAACTTTTACTGAGCACCTACTGTGTGCTAGACACCGTGTTAGGTAGACCCTTGGATAATTATGATAATTTCATTTAAGATCATGTAATGATGCAAAGCAGTCTTTCCACATGTGAGACACAGGGGAGTGAAGACCAGAGAAGTCACTTCAGTAAGTCAAACAGCTAGAATTAGGCATGGGGAAGGTCCATCGAAATCTCCAGTGATAAGGAGCTGAAAGGGATAGTTAACAGGTAGGTGACAGAGCTGATGTTGGAAGATGGACGGACACACAGAAGCACGGGAGCTTTCTGTCTGTGGGTAGATGCAGAGTCCTCCTGTGGTGTTAAAATATGTCCCCCTACTCGAGCCCGAGCACGGGACGATGTGGATTACCAGGAGTTTGTTTGGAAGTGACCTGGAGGTGTCATCTTAAGAAGCTCCCTGTGGATCTTAGCGAAGTAACACCGTATTCTGCTGCATTCACAGAAGCAAGATAATTAGCAGATTCAAAGCTCCATCTGGCTGAGAATCCTAAGAATCTTCTCCCTGGTGCATCC